TAAGTCTAGAAGACTTTTGGTGGAGTTCTTGGGGTCTTCTATATAGAGTATCATGTCATCTGCAAATAATGACAATCTGACTTCTTCATTTCCTACCTTTATTCCTTTTACTTCTTTCTCTTGTCTATCAATTAAGACTTTTAAAATGACTGAATATACATTATTATGTAAGTTACTACTGGTCAGAGAAAGACTTTACTGAAAGTTGATCTTCATAATTTCAAAATTAAACCATAAAATTCTACTTCAATATTTTTGTTTTGTATGAATATGAAAAAATAACTCAAACAGGATACTATTGCTTCATTTACTAAATCAATTATAGGTATGGTATACAGTGGATCCACTCCTTAAGTAAAATGTGTTAGAGAAAGTCATGCTGTGATCTTTGTATCAAAAACGGAACAGGAAAGGCAGAATTATTGAATGTGGAGAGGAAAGAGAACTTACATAAGTCGGTGTTTCCAAACTATCTGTGTTGACCAGTACTGGAGGAGGATTTGCCTTTAAAGAAAGAAGTGTAATGTGTTAGGTTAATAAGAAAATCAAAATATGCATATTAATGTTCACAAATGTTCGAATTGTATGAAAGACTTGTTATTTAAGTTATAATTTTATTTAGACTTTCTATATGTTAAATCAAACATACAGCACTAAGTGAAAAAACGAGATATAAGTAAGTATAATTAATAAATTGCTGGGCCGGAGATTTAGCTCAGTGGTTCCGCCGCCTGTCTTGCAAGCACAAGGACCCAAGTTCGATCTCCGGTACCAAAAAAACCCCAAAACAACAAAACCCCAAACCAAATAAATAAATTGCTAATTCTGCTAAAACAGAAAAAATTTAAAGATTTACAGAGAAGCCCACCATAGCCTTCTCATATTCTAGGCAAGCACTCTACAACTCAGCTACACTCTCAGCCTTCTCATTATTAATGAATATTCTTTAGTGTAACAAAAACAACTCTTCTGCAGAAATCCGGGTTTCTTATTCCTAGAGATCCTATGACTATTTTAATCATTCTGCTACCCAGAAGAAACTTATTTTTGGCTTGAATTATTGCTCTCCACTGCTATTCCAGACCACTTAGAGAATGAAATGTTATAGCATGAAAAACAAGCAGAATAATGTCCATCTAAAGTTGAAATGAAAAAAGCTTGATTTTCTAGTTAAGTTAGAAGTGGTTTATATGTGGAGATAGTAAAAAAGAAAATTTAATTAACAACAAATGAGAAACCCCAGAAAACTCATATAATTCCCTTCAGAGCTATTTCCTTTGTATATTTGAGATTACAAAAGTACTAAGCATAGGAGATGGAGGAAGGAGGTTTACTTGGGCCCAGGAAGTTGAGACCAGGGTATGGAACACAGGGAGATCCTTATCTTAAAAAGAGAAAGTACTAAGTCAATCAACATTTTGAAGAATAAGAAAGATGACTGTCCCTTAAACAAACTTTAGGAGATATGCTTATAAACATAATTCTCTTAGACTTACATATAAAAGCTGTATGAAAAAGAACACTATTCCAAAAAAAAAAAAAGAAAAAGAACACCATAACTCAACAGTTTTCTTCCAAACGTGTATTTCAAAAAGGTAGCTATTTGGAATTCAAATAATATATTATTTTCAGCAAAGTACTAAGATCTGAATGATTATATGATAAAATGCTTAAAGACAATATAGTTTCATGGTTAAAAAATTTACAGTATGCATTTGGGCTACATAAAGCAGGTTAAAAATGAGTAAGTAATACTTTGTTAGATATAAACATAACATTAAGTATTTACTATATGTTCAACCCTACCATTAAATGAAAGTCTACCTGTGAATGATTCAGTGAAAATCAAACTTGTAAAATTCTACTTGTAAAACTGCTATTTAAATAAAACTGAACTTACAGATAGCTGTAATTTTACCATTATTTGAAATAATTCTCACTTCATTAAAAAATTTCATGATAGAATGTCACTGTATTTTGCTCAAGCTACCATAGAGGAGAACAAGAAAGAACAAGTCTAAAGTTACAAAAGAAGTAACACTTTAAATATTATATGAAGGCTATTTGATTCCTTCAACTTGTTTAAGGCACACATACAGTGGAAAATTTTATCAAAGTCTAATTCATACTAAAAACACTATAATGTTAGCTGCCTGTCACCATCAATTCATCTTCATTGCATAAATTATCTTTTGATTTCAACAGTCTAAAAAGTTTTGTTAATGTTAAAATATATACAAACAGATGATATAAAGTATTATATTCAAAGTAAAACTGGGAGGTTTGGCAGTAGTAGGTGTTAGGAAACAACTAAGAGTGAACATGAGCTGACTTGTAGCTGGGTAATAAGTACATATAAGAGCTCACTGTGCTAATATACATTTTAGTATTTTCAATTTTTGTGTAACAAAAGGAGAAATTATACTACAGTGAAGTACTCAGTTTATAAGAAGCTAATAGCTAAAGCAGTTTTGAGATGGTATGGGTTAGGATTGCTATTAGGATATTACCATTCAAACCATAAAATTGATTTTATTGCTCAAATTTCATTTCAGAATAAATATGAAAATGACTTGTAATTTTGACTCAAAGAATGTTAAATAAGCAATATATGTATAATAGGTTTATTTGTACATGGAGCTCAAAATTAAAATGAGTGACTGATCATACTTGAAGGGAAACCACAGGAAACTTGAACTGGACTAAACCTGTAAATTGTCAAGTTAAGGATTAATCAAGAATTTCAATCAAAACTAACATCAAGATAATGAAAAGTACCTAGCAATTTGCAAGACATATCATAAAGATGGTTCAAAATAGTAGCCTACTGAAATGATGCTCAAGAGACAAAAGGATACGAATGCTTCAAGTTTAGCCACCTAAAATATAAAAATATTTGAGACTGACTCAGTTAATAGATAAGTAAGTAAAATATGTATCTTGAAATAAATTATACTTTACTAATTTGAGATATTCTAATTTTTCATGTAACAAAATGCAGAAATGGTATCTGATAAAGTAGTATTTTCATTTCTCTAATTTGGTGAAGGTGGGAATGGGAATTTGAATGGGTGTAGAAAGTATGACATTTGTAACCTAAAAAGACTCCATAAGCAAAGCTAAAGAACAGGCTGCTTCAAAAAGATGAAACATAGGGGCCAGGGCTTTAGCTCAGTGGCACAATGCCTGCCTCACAAGCGCAAGGTCCTAAGTCCGATCCTCGGCACCAAAAAAAAAAACCACAGAAAAGTTGACTACAGAAAAGATGTATTTTTAGGTAGCCGAAGTAAAGGACAAGAAAACTAAAACAGCTGATCTGGCCAGTTTAAGACATTAAGAACCTTAAGTAGGACAGCAGGTAGCAGAACAGGTAACATGTAATTACCAACTTTACTTACAAGGAAATTAAACAAGACTGGAGAAGAGTATTTTAGTTATCTCAAGTGCAAAAAATTTTTCCATATGTCACTTCAAGTGACACTGTACCTCCAGCCCTGGTTCCAAGTCTCTTTCTACCTCACTTTATCATTCAGTGACATTTGACTGTAGCCAACTGCAGTTTGATCAAAGCTCATTTTCTCTATCTACGAAGACATAGCAATATCTGCCCATATCCAAGAGGACTACATGAGGCCCCAAGTGGCAATATAAAGGAAAGAGTGTTGTATTTGATTGGAAAGTATATAAATGCTTAGTCATTATTATGTATTAACAATATATAGCATCATGTAGGTTTCAATTTGGACAATAAAGTCCTGAAAATTACTTGGGGATTGGGGGATTAGTAAAAGAGCAAAGATATTCCAGAAGGAATCATTAACAAATCCTAAGAAATTTGACTCCTGTCAGTAACAACACTTATGAAACTTAATTTTGCTCATTCAACTTTCTTTTGCGGGGGGTTAGTGGGGATCGAACTCAGAACCCTGCACTTGCGAGGCAGGTGGTGGCACCACTGAGCTAAATCCCCAGCCCACTCATTCAACTTTTAATACTCTATCTCATTATCAAAGAATCTTGTAGTGATTGGTTCATAATAGACTGAAACATTCTTAAAAATTTCAGAGGGCAAAAATACTTTTTAAAAAACGGTGTTAAAATAATGGTAAGATCTAGTTTTTAAAAACAGGCCAAATGAAGTTTAGAAAAGGCAATTACACTTTACTATTTCTTCTGAGCATTTATCTAAGTTTCATTATTTATTTACTTAGTGTACCTTTCTCCTCTACTGAATGACAAACAAGTGTCTTTTTTCCAACTTGACTTCACAAAGCCCAGAGAATACACCTTCGATTCTAGTTTGAGACACACTGCATTAAAAGTTAAACACCTTCACTGAGTTGATCACTGTAGGTTAAAGTGATTATATAAATAAATGGGATAGATTTCTGGGAAGACGGCAGGGTAAGAAGTGCAACAAATGTGTCTCTCCACCTAGATAGCAACTACAGTGGCAGAATCTGTCTGATATGACTATGCCGGAACTCTAGAGACTTTTGAAGACTCACAACTTCCAGGTGGAGATCTAGATGGTAAATTCAGTTCATTCTGGTTACTTTCTGCTTCAGTACAATATAACTACATATCTCCATCCCCTGAATCCTGTGGCAGGCAGGCAGTTGTACAGTGTTCACATAAATAATAGCTTACATATAGATTGTAAGAGTAAGAATGGGCAAAAAAAATCCTGTCCTCCAAATACTGGAGATCTATATACAGATAAGTGCTTCTTCTGATCACAGAGATATAGACAAACAGGCAGTGGCCACTGCTCTTGTGCCTCCCCCACTGCTGCATGCCTTCCCCACTTCCAGCTAGACTGATTTCCAGAGGGCCTCTTCCCCTGCCCTCATTTCCTTTTTTCCCCTTTTGGAGAAAGACACTGAAGAGTAGGATATTAAAAAGTGACAAGGGGCAAACTGAAAAGTCACCACATATGCTGGGAATACGCAGGCTCAGCAAATACCTGAGAAGACCCTAAGTTTAAAACTCAGGCTGATTCTTGGCAGCCTATAATAACCAGGAAAACAAAACATTAACAAAGAGAATTCCAGAGGAGAATATGCATCATTTAAGAAAAAAAAAAATCACAAAGCATACAAAGAAACAGGAACATAGATTCAGAAAGAAAAAGGTCAATACAACTATTTCTGTAAAAGATGTGATAGCATATCTCCTACACAAAGAATTTAAAACTTTTAACTATGCTCAAAGAACTAAAAGACACGGATAAAGTCAAGGAAATGATATATGATCAGAATGGAAATACAGAAAACCTAAAAAGAAACCAAAAGGATTATTATGGAGCTATATAGTAACTGAAATGAAAAATTCACTAGTGGGATTCAAAAGCAGATTTGAGTAGGCAAAGGAATCAGCCATCTTTAACCATGTAACAGTTTATCCCAGGTGTCACTTGGGCAGTGCATTTGTTTACTTAGTGACTCCATCTGAGCATCACTTGGGCTGGTGTCATTTCAACCAGCTGATGCTTGTATTGAATA